TCTTAGAGCATCAAATGGAAGGCACAGCTTTAAATGGACTCCCTGTTTTGTCCATGACCCTTCTACTCTATGGTCTCTACATCCATAAAGACAGCCCTCTTTACAGGATCCTTCCAGCTTACATACATTCTTTCATTTCTTCCTCTTCCTTACCACCTCCCTGCCCACATCCTACAAATTGCCAATATCACCACCTAAACATTTCTCAAATTCCTACAATTCTACAATAGGAAGTAATCCTACCATAATTCATACAATAGGAAATATCTTCATAGCTTCTCCAGCCACCACCACCTACTCACCCAGACTAAGGCTCCAACTATCTTCAGGCTCTGGGACACACAAGCCCTTCACCTTTTCTCAATCCATTCTCACCGCTGTGGTGTGAGGTTCCTAAAACCACTGCTGGGCCACGTGATTTCAATGGTTTTCCCAGTGCTCCCTAGAGCATAATTCAAGCTCCTGAGCTGGGCCTCCAAAGTCCTGCCTACCTCTCCAGACTGACTTCTCCACTTTTTTCCCCAGGTCCTTTATGTCCCATGTGGCCCTGGAATCAGCAGTTAGCGGCATCTGTGAACTTATCAGAGATGTCGATTCTCAAGTCCTACTCCAAACCTAACAAATTAGAAACTGGGTGCAGGACCCAGCAATATGTGTGTCAGCAAGCACACCAGTGACCATTAGGCCTGCTGAGGTGAGAGAACCTTTAACCACTCTGGGTTGATGTCATTGCTGTGCCCCCGAGTCCCGGTGCTTGCAGATTCCCTCCTCCTGGCCCCCCGCCTCCATACCTACCTGCCTCCTGTGGGCCTCACCACACTTTCTTCTAACTAACCCTACTTAGAGTCATCTAGTCAAATAAATCCCTGTTAGATCAAATAGTGTCATATGTGGCTGTACCTGGAGATGTGATCCAGACTACAGAGTCACAGAGGGGCTGTAGAACATTGGTGAAGGATCCTTTGAACAGTTAAAGTGGAGTTCACCTGAAAAGGTCCTTCCTGGTAAAGTGTGACCCCGATTCATTTGTCCCTTAGTCAGAGAAACATGAGACTGCTTGGACCCCGATGCCCCTTGCTACTAAATACACTCAGCCCAGTGACTCCCAGCAGATTTTAGGCTGCATATGAAGTCCCAAGTGAGGACTGATCATGGTGGGTTGCAGGAAGCTTAGTGAACAATGTATCAGGAATTGTTCTGACTTGGCTTCACTATGAGATGCATCCTCAAAGTGGAAATGAGGATTTTATCTAAATTCAAGCATATCATATTCCTGAAATAATAGAAATCTGTAATCTTCCAGTTTTTTCTCCCCCAAAGCAGCACAAGACACATATCAAGGCATGTAGTTTTCCATACCCAGCTTTTAAACATCTGTCTCTCTGGCCTCTGGACATTTCCTAATAGTCTAAAATCTATGTTCATTTTTTTAAAGGACAACATTATGAAGAGATACTCACATTCTCTCGTAATTTACAGCTCTCTCCCTTCTTCACTACTTCTTTTTCTGGGCAAGAATCACGGATATGAACAATTTTTATTTAAGAAAAAAAAATATTACATTTTGTGATCAAGATAAATGGTTTAAATTTTGCAAACATTACAAAAGTTCATATAATAAAAACAAAGGCTTCTTTCACACTCACTGACCTCCCACTCTCTGTCACCCCAACCTTCTGCTCTTAAAGTCACTACTTTTCTGTTTGTGTCCAGATTGTTTTTATATGTATGCACCCAGATATATAATATATATAATGCCCATACTCTTTTTAAAAATTCTTTTTAGTTGTTGATGGAACTTTATTTTTTTTTCTTTCTAGGTGGTGCTAAGAATCAAACCCAGTGCCTTGCACAGGGTAGGCAAGTGCTTTACCACTGAGCCACAATCTCAGTCCCCCATACTCTTTATACAGAAGAATTACACCATATTGCCTTCGGCATTCCCCTGAATGGTGCTTTGCTATCAATGGTATAGGAGCAACTGGACTGATGTGTTTTGCCACTTATTATACAATGTCCAACTCTACACAATGAGGGGGAAAAAGGTCCAGCATCAATAGCTAATTTCTAAAATTTAAAGAGCCAGTTTCAAATGAAAGCAGAACTTGAATTTAGGACTTTAGAATTCACTTGTCCTACTCAATCAATAACAGTAAACCCCTCTCACCTCACTGATGCACTCTGACCTTTCAACCAAGCCCACCTGGCCTATTGCCAGGGTCTTTTTGCTTGCTGACAAACAGCGGTCTCAGGGATTAGAGATGGAGGCGACGACAGGTTCTTTTCCCATAATCTCACTGCCAGGTGGAACAGTCCAACAAACACAATATTCCAGTCAAATCTGTTACCACAAATGATTACTACCAAGAAGGCATGGAAAAACATCGTACCATCTGTTCTGCAAACTCAGTGAAGTCTCAGCTCTATCATTTTAGGTATTTCCACATACACTCCACAAAGAGATTCAGTCCAAGACGGAGACCTACATGGAGAATTCACTCACCTTAGGTCAGAAAGCAGAGTCTTCTTGGGTTGGTCATGTGGACAAAGCACATAGCAGTGTTCTAGGTCCAGGACCCCCTGGGACTTTGACTTCCTCACCCCCGTTCTTCTTCAGGGCAGAGCTGGAGCTGCCTCATGCTGTATGTTTGGCAACCCACTTAGTTGGAATGTAACTGGCTTCACAATGAATAATTATTTCTATCTCATGTGCTAATGAGAACTCTCCAGGCACAGATTTAGAAGGTGGCACTTGATGGGGTGGCCCCAAAGTTTGGAAGTTTGTAATGCTAATTTACCATGCTGATGATGTGAATTACTAGTTATGATATTTAAATAATTACTATTTCTAAGGTTTAAAGTTAATGTAAATACACACACACACACACAACACACACACACACACACACTTCTCTGCTTCAAGTGAAAAAATTTAAAACAAATTATAGCTAACAAGGCATCCTCAATCAATTGTCTAAGAATATGCCTCTTTCCTTACCCCATTCTTCATGCCAGACGACCGAGTGGTAAACACAGAGATAAGGAAGTTGAACTCTGGAGTCACTTGACCTGAGTCCACATGGAGACTTTGTGTTCATATGGATCCGCCAGAGAGTTATTAGTTAACCTCTCTGAACCTTGTTTTCTTCTTTATATAGTGAGGTTGACAAGGAGGCCATGTGATGAGGCAGGCAAAACACTGAGCTCATAGTCCGATTATCACGGTTTCATCATCTCTATCATCTCTTTGTGTTCGTTCTTCCAAGTTTCTTTCTCCCAAGTTTCTCCATCCACCTCCTCCGATCCACCCATTTAGTCATATTGATTGAAATAATTTTTTTAAGCCCAAAGTTTCATGGAAAGCACTAGAGGATCTAGTGGGTCAATGGGCAGGGTCTCTTCCCACAGAAGCCTCTGACCTCAACGCGGTTCAGACTTCACCCAGGCTGATCTTGATGGAATTCTATAATGTGTCAAGCTCCGTGCTGAGCACTTTACATTTATTATCACCCTTGATTTTAAGCCACCTACAAAGCTGATGCCCTTTTACAGAAGGTGAATCTGAAACTTTAATAAGCTGAGTGCATAACTAAAACTAGTCCAAACCCAGGAAGCCTGACACTCAAACCTGTATCACACCCCTTGGGTCCTCAGCTCTGTAAGCCCTTCTTCTCCCAAGTCACCGTGGAATTAACTTCCAGTCCCTCCTATGCTTGCATTCTTAGAATTATCGATATTAGGGCTGAGGGTGAAGGTCAGTGGTACAGTACATGCCTAGCCTGTGTGAGACCCTGGCTTTGATCCCCAGAAACATAAAAATATTAAATAAGTAAATAATTCATCTTAAAGAGAATAGTCTTATTTTTACAACTCCAGATGTTAATGTGCTTTCAGCATCCCCCTTCTTCCATAGCTTTAATAGATGCAGCATTGTAGAGGCTGCACAGATTTTGGAGCCAGATTGTCAGACTCAGCCTCTTAATCTGCTGTGTGACCTAAGGCAAATCTCACAACCACTCTGTGCCTTAGTTTTTTCATGTGCAAAATAAGGGGTAATGTTATGTGCAAAATAAGGGGTAATGTTATGTACCTAAGAGGTTATTCTGAGAATTGAAAAGTTAACATAAATAAGGTTATAAGCACACACTCAGCGCTTAATTAAGTGGTGCACAAGTGAAAGGCTTCATTATTCATCTTATATCTTGTATTCATATTATACTTATGTATCACAGATCAAGGACCACCTTCTTTACATCCTTGAGTCTAGACAATCTCAATCTTTCAAAAAAAATGTTTTTTTTTACTCACTTGAATGCAACAGGACTACTATTTTTTTTTGTTGTTGTTGATAAATAAAAATAAGATTACACCAGAAAATGACACTTTGCCCAAACTCCACATCTTTCCCTTCTTCAGCCATTTTCCTCCAACTCAGTCATCTTTAGAAAAGGGGAAAGTGTATTCCTCACCTGGAAGTAACTGAAATCCTAGAAACAAGGGTCAAGGAAAATTCTGAAAGTCTCCTAAGAAAGCTTTTCTTCCATTATCATCTTCTGATTTCCTATTTCTTTTCCTCCTCTTCTCCTGACTTTTCTTTATCCCACCAACGTTGGAGACAGATACTGTTATTCACAGTCCAAGTCCTGGAACTGGACACCCATGACGGTCAGGTCTCTGATGTCCTTTATGGACATTGGAAGGCAAGGTCCTATGCCCCAAGAACGAGATTAAGATCTTGGCTTCCAGTTATTTTCTCTCCTCCTCAGTGTCTCCAGAGATATTCTGTTCATCTCAGGTCTTGCCTGCCAGAAACCCCAAGTTTTGGGCTATGAATTTTAGCTTCCCACCCTCCCCGGCTCCTTCAGCCCCCTTCAGTCCAGAACCGAGGTTAAATTCCAAGGTTTTTAGGAGCAAACTCAGTGCATCTGTCCGGGAACCGGTGCGTTCTTGCCGAAGCTGCCAAGAGAACCACAACCCTGAACTGGCTGATCCTGAACTGGCGGATCCTGTCTCCCTCTCTGCAACTTAAACCTGGAGGGGAGTTGGGGGAAGGAACAGCGCCCAGAACCCGTGTGCACGAGTTTCTTGAACCCCCACGAATAAAGGTTTCCGTGAACTCTGCGCGTAAGGGTGACTTTGAACCTGGGCGGCGTGGCGCGGAGCCCCAGCACCTGACAGCGCACCTCCCCCGGGACCGGCGGGCAGGCGGGGCCCCGCGGGCCCCAATCACCGTCGGTGACCGAGCCTGCTTCCGGCACCCAGCGCAAATCTGCGGCACCCGCTGGTCGCCCCTGGGCACCCCGAGACCATGGGGAAGCTAGTGGTGCTGACGGTGCTGGGGGCCAGCCTGGCCCTGATCGGGGAGCGCTTACTGGCATTTAGGTGAGTGGGGCGCCTTTGGCTCTCTTTCTCCTGTGGTCCAAGCTAGGTCAAGGGCGGCCCCGAGGGCAGGCGCAGGTTTGAAACCTCACTCCTCCATCCCATCCAGCAAAGTGTCCTCCAAGAATCACTTCTGTGAAAAGTGAGCTGTCTGTCTTTCCCAGGGCGATGGGGCAGAAACGCCCATATGTGTTTTCTGAAGACCACGTCCTGCTGTCCCAGGTCACCCTCAACACTCTGCGTGTGCAAAAGCAAACCCCGGGGTGGGGGGGGGACGCACCCGGACTTGGGGGAGGGGACAGGCCACCAGCTGCCTCTTTAGTGCTGCCACAGTCACTGGACACCTGAGTGCACATTGAGAAGTACTAGGTTACAGGGCCCATCCCGGGCTCCAAGAGCCAGATCAACAGCACAGAAGAGTTGGAACACTTGCCGGTGGTCACTGGCATTTTGGAGGGATGTGACCTTTTGAAGTGGAAGAACGAGAGGTGTTCGCTATTTCTTTAAGGTCTCAGGGAGTCAGCATTGGGCTCCAAAGAATCTTCAAGTAGTGACACGAGGTATATGTTCCTGAATGGAACTGAAGCCTCTGCTTGCCTTCAGCTGTCTTTGGATTTTTTGTTTGTTTTTTGTTTTGTTTTTCATTTCTTTTCCTAAGCAGTAGTTGTTCTTCTCAGAGGTTCATATTCACAATCTATTGAGATGCCTGGTGCCTGTCGGCAATACTTTCTAGTTTATTTGAAGTGTTTATTGTTACATTTGTTTCCCAACAAATGATGGAATCATAAAATTACAATAAAGTCTATTTAAGGGTTTTTTGTTTTGTCTGTTTGCTTTTTATTTTTTATTTTTTTTGGTTGATTTTTGTTTTTCTTCTGGGTGGTGCTGGGTAGAGTTAGGCAACACTCTCCCACTGAGCTATAACACCAACCCTAAGGGGTATGTTTTGTAAGTGATTTAAAGATAAGTGTAGTCTTCCCAAATATTACTTAGTATTAAAAGATAAGCCAAGTATAGTCTTCCCAAATATTATTTAGTAAAATACATAATTCTTAGAAGAATGTGGAAATAGGAACCCAGGACCCCAAAATAATTTGGCTAATCGTTTAAATGGTGGTCAGCTGAATAAATTTACAGTTTTGCACACTAAGTCGGTATAAGCTTAAACATAATACGATGAAAGCGAAAGTATGAGGTTTAACTCTTCAGAGACAAATTATATAGAAATTATGGAAGCATTTCGTAGGGGGTGGGGATGGGGTCCAAAAATGCAAGGGCAGAAATGCAGACTTATAATAGATAATACTTTAGAAAATTTAATAATACAACTTTGTGCACTTAAATTAATAATATCATTCAGTTACTCATACCATTCAACAGTGTCTTTTATTTGGACAGCAAGTATTTACCATGTGTAATCATGTTTAGTCTTTCAGCAATAACAGTAAAGTTAGCTGATGGGGCACATTACTCATATAAAGCCCATGTTAGGGAAAGTGGTAAATAAAAGGAGTTGCCTTACTTGTTTGTTATGTCATTCATAAGCTAGCATGAAGAGTCAACCACTCCTGAAGTACCTTGACTTCTGTATTGGGTTTTGTTTTCTACAGAGAAAGAATCAATGCAACTCGAGAATTGGAACCTGTAGAACTCCAGAACTGCCATCTCATTGAGGGACTTGGTATGTATGTGACAGCACCCAGAGGGGCTCGTACAGTTTCTTGGTTACCATCCACCTGAGTCTGAAAAAAAAAAAAAATGATTTGATTCACTTACTTTTTAGACACTCATGGTGTGGCTGCTGCATCACCCATTTTACCCAAGCCATACCATGCAAAGTCTCCAAAATACCAACATCTACGACTTGTTCTCAGCCTGTTTCCTTAATGACATATCTCTTGTCGTTTGAAGAATATATTTGACTATTCCCTGCCTGCTCTCTTGCTGATGTTCCCTCTTTCCCCTTGTGTGGTATTTTGTTCTCTTGCCTTTCTTCTGTTACCTGCCCTTAGTTTTTTTTCTCTTCCTTCCTGTGCCCCTCCCTCCCTCCTTCCCTTCCTTTCCTTTTCTATTCTTTCCTTTTTTTTTCTGCCTCCCTCAGTCTCTTTGATGAGAGTCTTGTATTTCCTTCTACACTTACCTGCAAGTACCATGAGGAATTTGACTTAGCATTTACCCTTGAGAACCTCAGCCTACCTAGATGCCTTTTTAAAAAATTACTCTAAAATCCACCGTTAGATCCCCAACTTCTCAAACAGCAGCCCTTCTTTTCCCATCAACCAAAGGGTAGCTGTGCTTTCGACTCAATTTTAGAAGAAGTCTATTTTGCATCTCTGTTGTTTCCCGTCACGTCCCCACCCATGGCCAGATCGTCTAGACTTCTGTGTGTGGTGTCCCATCTTCAAGAGGCTTAGTTCAAAACCCAGGAACCATTCATTTCCCCCTTGTCCCTCAGGATGCCCATAAGACTCAGGGGCACGCGTCTCCTCTGTACCCCTACGGGGCCGATCTCCTCTACTAATCACCCTCATGCTGTTTATTTGGGATCCAAGCCTCTAATTTTTCCTGACATGGCTACTGGAAAATAATTAAAAATCAGGATAGAATCTGCTTACCTCCCTGGGAACGTGTTCATCGCTTCTTCACCTTTAGTAATGAAAGCCTTCGCCTCTGCTGCCTGAAATCAGCTACTCATGTCTTTCCTCTGAGCTCTCACAGCCCTCAGAGACTCTGATTCATTCACAGCATCTACCACATGCATTATTTTGTAGCTAACACTACAAAACAAATACTCGCTTTCACTCTCGGCTTGCAAACCCCTAAGGTCAAGGACTGTGACTTATTTATTGGTATGTGACAGGAAAGTTTGTTTTCTGATATGAATTTGTATTTTATTTTTCTTGCTATATGTATTTAAAAAAACAAAAATAAACAAAAAAAGGGGATTCTTTTGTTTTTGGTTTTCTACTTCTCTTCCCACTGAATTTCTATAAAGGAGCCATCGGGACCTTGTTCTTCCCCGTCTCAGAAGTGGTTGGTTTTGCCAGCCAAAAGGCCGAATGAAAGACAAACCCCTTGCTGATGTTTGATTTTGAGAACCTGAGCCTCTGAAGGGTTCTGATGAAAAGGGATGAAAATATGTGGCTTTCTTTGAGTGGCAGCGACTCCGGCCCCACTGTCTGACAGCATTCTGGAGAGGCGCAGGACCTCAGAAGGAGGGATACAAGGTATCCTTAGGGAGCCTAGACCAAAGACACTGTGCACAGCATGCAAGTGGCAGAATTGTCTAAATCTAAATCATAGTCCTGGCAGCGAGCAAACTTTCTGCTTGATTTTAAGAGCCATCACCAAGGATCATTGCACAATCCTACCAGAGACCCAGTAATGCCTCACATTCGGTTTCCCATCAGCTTCTTGAAATAGAGGATCAGAGTTAGATTTAATTGTATTTGAAGAACAAAGAAATGTGACATTTACATACTTGTTTACTGTCTTGAGGAATAATAATCATACTTACTGCACATAAATCTCTCAAAAGACAGCAGCCTGCCGAGTTATTTAATGGGATAATTAGACTAGATGATTTGCTAAGGTCTGGTCCGACTTTTAGATTCTAAAACTCTACCAAATTCCAGAAACTAAAACTGGAATTAATATTCCAAATATTTGAAGAAAATGAGAAAATAATTGGAAGCTGGATAGAGGCAGCAGAAAAAAAATAATAATGTGGTGCTGCTTCTTATATCTACTGTCTATATTTACATGTTATATTTGAAGAAATAAACAAGTTAGGCTGACCATGGGTCATTTGTCACTAGGACAATACCCATATACATCTACAGCTAAAAAGCTGGCTCATCAAAGGCTTGGAGCCTAAATGCACTCCGTGGAATCCTCATCACTCATCTGTAGTGTAGGTGCTGCTGTGTACGCTGTACAGAATAGTGAATCGACACCTGGGAGAATTAGGTTACTCGCCCAAAAGTCCAGAACTAGAAAGGGGGTGACAGACCTAAAGTGGGAATCAGATGGTTTTCTTCTGTGGCTTCATACTCAATATCATGTGACGCTACGTGTCTTAGTGACTCACAACACATTTTATAACAGAAGCTCCAAGAAAATGTTGCAGCAGAAGAAAACAGAACATACCAGTAGCTGGAATATTACTAAATATAGGCTGACTGGGGATTGCACCCAGGGGTGCTTAACCACTGAGCCACATCCCCATCCCTTTTTTAATATTTTGAGACAGGGTCTCTCTGAGGTGCTTAGGGCCTCCCTACAATGCCGAGGCTGGGCTTTAAACTGGCAATCCTCCTGCCTCAACCTCCTCAGCAGCTGGGATCATGTGCCTCCATGCCCAGCTGAGACCCGATTCTGTCTTATTGACTCACAACACATTTTTTTGTAACAGAAATGCTACAAAATTCTTTGATGGTAGGTTTTATGAAGTGGTGGAGAACTGTTGATGGACTTTAGGTAGAATGTAGACAGGAATAACAGAGCTCAAGGAAGTACTAATATGTGTTTTTTCAAAACCAGACTTTGGAGGTTAATTTTATATATGGGAGAAACTCTTCCTTTTTTGTTTTCCTTCCCTAATATTCTTTCTTGGAGGAAAGACTGAAAGGTGAAATATTTCTTCCTCCAGAAAGTATACCCCATAGTTCTTTTTGTACTGTTGATCTTTTTTTTTTTTTGCGTCATGGCTTTGAAGGTCAAGGATTATTTTAATCAGGAAGTAACTTGACTGTCCTTGGCATCTGATCAAAGGTTCACTTGAAAAATAACAAGCTTTCTTAGGGCTGATGTGGGCAGCCTTTAATTTGGGGTCTCCCATCTTCCCTTCCAACTTTTTTTCTCCTCCGTAGCCTCCCATCCCCAAGATTTGCTGTCACTCTGTATGTTATTCCATTTGTTTTCTTAGCCAGCTATCATAACATTCTCTCCAAACAGAGGAATAATAATTATAAAACTAAGTGATGATAAATTCTGCTGTGACCCTTTCTCGGGGTGCCTATAGGAAATGAGTAAAGACATGAAGAAGATTAAAGATCATGCCAAGTCGTGGTAGGATTGATAGCTTAGAAAACAGTGGGTACCCTACTGTTCATAAGACAGATTTTCTTGGCTTAGCAGTGGGGTTTTAATGATGGCTGTGTGCAGATTAATGAGTGTGTGGGGAGAACTCAGAGGAGACTGTTCTGGGGCTCTTACTCCCACAGGAGCCCCTGTTGCTCATAGGAACTGGGCCCATCGTGCAGATGCAGCCTAGGCAGAGCTAAGGAGGGTGGTAGTTGATGAACTGGTAGTTCTTTTATACTTCTGAATGCAAAGCACCAACTTCCTTGTGCTCTGGAAGGAGCACAGTGCCTCCAAAAACTGAGTTATTGAAGTAGACTTACGCTGTCTTCGGAGATATGTAAAGTGGTGTTTGGAAAAGAAAAGGAGCCCAACCAGAGAGCACACGACTTGGAACATCTTGTACAGTGGCTTCTTGACTTATGATGCAGGTTAAGGCTTGAGAAGCCTGTTGGAAATATCCCAAGTCCAACATGCATTCCATACACCCAACCCACTGAACGTCTTGTGTTCGCCACACAGTACCCCATGCAATGTCCGTTGTTTCCCCTCATGACCCAGTGACTGAGGGGGAGCTGCAGCTCACTGCCACAGCCCAACTTGGAGAGACAGCTGAGGAAAATCTCAGAATTTAAAATCCAAAGTAAGGTTTCTATTGAACACTTATCCCTTGTGCACCATTTGTTAATTCAAACTATTATTAAATTGGGCGTCACCTGCATTTAGAAAGTAACATTCCCTTGAAGTTGAACTTCAAAATGAGAAAAAAAAAAATTAAAAAAAAAACCTATAAATGTTTATTTTGTTTTTAAGCCAACCAATTTTTATTGAAAGCGTCTACATTGAAAAGGTGGGTATTGTGTCGGATGGAAAGATACAACACTGAATAAAATCCAGTACTTGCTTCTAGGAAGTTTTCTATCTAGTAGGAAATTAACAAATGAATACAGGGTAGTTGCCTCCTGTGAGAAACGTCATAATGGAGGTGGTCACCAGTGTCCATTTTAGAACATAAAGTGGATGTATTAGTAAGTAAAAATGGAAACCAGGAAAGTTTGGGAAGGATGAGGGACTGCCTCCCATGCCCCTTCTAAGAGCCTGCGATCTTGGCCCAGAGGCGTGGGTGATGTGGGAAGGGAGAGCAGCCTGTGCCCAGGTATGTAGGTGGCCCTGGCTCATCTCACTAGCTGCTCACACAAGTGCCACAGCACAGCTGGAATGCAGAGATGATGGCAGGAGCTGGAAGAACTGAGACTGGGTCCCCGATGTGGGGGATTGAGATCTAGATCAAGGAGCTAGTGATTTGTACTGCTTCTTTATGGGGCCTCTGGAAGTTTTCAGGCAGGGAAATGACAAGGTCAACTTTGCAATTTAGAAATATGACTGTCAGCTACACAGAGAATGGGTGTATGGAACACAGCCAAACTATTTCGAAGCTATTTACCAACCAGGAGGAAGGGGGGGGGAGAAATTGGGGGAGGGAGGAGCCCTCTCCTTACTATCAAAAAAATATAAACTCCAAAGGCATACCTTTAGTGACCCACCTCCTCCAGCCATACCCTACCTGACCACAGTTACCACCCAGTTAATCCCTATCAGGGGATTAATCCACTGATTAGATTAAGGCTCTCATAAACCAATCATTTCACTCTGAACTTTCTTGTTTGTCTCACACATGAGCTTTTAGGGACACCTTGTAACACCATAACCGGGATTAAGGAAAAGGGAGGCATCAAAGATTGCTTCACATTTTCTGCTTTGGGTACTTGAGACAGACGTGCCATTCATTGGCATTAAAAAAAAACAAGCAACAACAAAAAAAAAAAAAAACAGTAAATGGAAATTATTCAAAATAATTTTGAAACCTGTTGAATAAAAAAAAAAAAAGAAAAAAATCCCTAGAAATATTCAACATACAAATGACCACAGAACTTTACAGAATGGTTTGGACTTGATGGACTTGATGAACTAGATGTAGAGATCAGAGAACCAAGAGCATGTGGTGGGTGGAAGTTGAAGCCATGGGGCTGGAGTGAACCATGCAAATAGCATGTGTGATCTGCCATGAGAAAGAATCAAAGATCCTGGATACTTAGGAAAGAGGTGGGGAGGAGATTAAGGTAAAACAAACCAAGCAGGGGTGTGTGATGATGCCGAAGAAACCCTAGAAAAGTAAATAATCTGTGATTTTTAAAATTGACTCTTTTTTTAAAAAAAAATCAGGGATTAACCCCAGGGTGCTCCCTGAGCTAACCCCAGCCCTATGATTGCAGTTTGGACAGGACTTGATGGGGACATTTCACCTGCTCCATTTGCATCTACGAAGGCAACTCAAGAGCTGGGAACAGGAGTCCTCTAGGGCTCCTGTGGTATCTCTCTCTCTCTCTCTCTACCTTGTGTGGTTTCTCTGCATTCTTTCCTCTGTAGCTTTAGAATAATCATATTTCCTACATTTCAGTTCAGGGATCCCAAGATGCCTTGAAAGAGAAAGAGATAGAATTGATAGACATATAGATACAGAAAGACCATAGGTGTGTGTGACCTTGGGCAGCTACGGCTAGGACACTTGGCCTTGGAGATGGCATTATATTTGCTTCATTTTGTTTGTCAGGGCAGTTACAAAGGTCTGCCTAGGCTCCAGGGGAGAGATGATAGATCTTATCTCTTAGTGGAAGAGGGTGTACCTCATGCTTTTAAGAAGAACATATGCCCATGGTACACATTGATTCTGATATTTGTAGAATATAGTTCACCAACCTAGATGCCTTCTGTATCAGTCCTGCTTGTGTAAATCTATCTCCTTACCATAAACCATGCCATCCCCTTTTTCATCTTGTTCTCAACCAAAATTTCTATCTTATATGCTTCTTTCCATGGGGAAAAAAAATGCTCAAGAGCAGTTCTCAATGAGCTATCTGATTAAATCCTTTCAAATTCATTTCTACTCAATAGTTTATCCTAAGACCGATAGCTGTTTATAATAGAAAACAATTATTTAGTAATTTCTCAATATGCTGTATAATGATAGATTTTGGGGGGCTCAACAAGCTCAAAGAGGAGGAATGCTTCAGAGAGAGGCCCATCAGAGAACTTCTCAATTATGACTTTCCGGATTTTATCATTCAGTCTTTGGACAAGCCTTCTATGTGGAATAAAGCCGAATCTCTCAGGACATAGCCTGAAAATTGTTATTTCAAAGATAAATCTAAGATAGAAATTTATTTTCTAGTTATTTACCTTTTATCTTGAAAATGATTTTTAAAAAAAAAGAATGTAGTACTTGAGGAGTCTGACTCAGGCGTTCTTCTACAGTACCATGCCTGTGGGATTCCTGCAAGTTAAAACTATATTAGAGTTTCCCAAGTGAATGGTTGAAAAGTCAGTGTACTTTCTAAAAGACATTCAAAGTTTGGACTAAGAGATTTATTTTTAAACCTTCATATATGCATCTTTCTGATTTTTTTCTTTTCTTTTCTTTTCTTTACAGAAAATGGATCTGAAGATATTGATATACTTCCTAGTGGGCTGGCTTTTATCTCCAATGTGAGTATATCCAGGCTGTTCTGATGCTCACATCAATAGTTGTATAGACAGTGCATTAATGTTGTCAGCGAGGGCTGCCAGATGGACCCCATACTCTCATCCCGCCTCTGGGTAGACAAGTCAACTAAAAAAGCCCAAATAGGAATCTGGAGGGCTAATTAGAACACCACAGGAATGCCCAGCTTTGACTGCCCCATGCAGGGCAGTTCCCTGTGGTCAGCTGCACACTCACTACGATCTCAATAAATGTGTATTGATTTCCATTTGATTCCCAGGCTGATCTTCAGATCTGTCCTGTTGCTGACCGTCTCCATCATTGCCCTGATGGATTGGGTCTGTTTCCGGTAGTCATCTTCTCACGAACTCGTATTCTTTTTGCTTGCTTATGTTTGGAGCTCTGTGTTAGTGGATTGAACGTTAACTCAGTTCAAAACCCTGAGCACTTTTCATCTTAGAGTCTTTGCTATTCTTTCCACGTCATTCAAACAGAAGTAGAGAAGAACCTACATTTTGTTTCTAATACCACCGTTCTGAGTTTGGAATGATCTCGAAATTATGCCAGCGACTGAAAATCAATAAACAAAACCATTGTGTCCTTGTGAAATGTTGAAAATTATCATGTATTTGTTAAATTGGAATGGGTTTTAAGATTATCATGCACTTGTACATATTGGAATTGGGTTTAAGATTTTGAATAAGTGGATTTATCATATTTTTAATGTGAATGAATTGTTATTGCTAGAATTAAATGTCTGATATTCCATTTGGCCATTAAAAATATCACAAGAGAACATGAATTTTAAATCTAAACATATTTGGACAAAAAATGAGGCACCTATGTAACCATGTTCTGAAATTCTAAATTCTGAATTATGCATGGTAAAGTACAGGGGAGGTCTCATTTGGATTTTAAAGTGCTGTTGGTGGCATTTATGGTTGGGATTTTATTTCTTTATTTTTCTTCCAAAATCAAAAAAGAAAAGATTTTACTTTGTTGACCTAAATTTCCTATTGTCAAGCTGAATTTTTAGAGTTATGCCAAACAGACCTTCAAAAATGATGATTCTGTAGCTAGGAAATTTCTTTGCTACTAGGAAATAATGTTTGTTATTACTCCTGTATTCTTTTTTTTTCATTTTTAAAAAATTTTTATTTATTTATTTATTTTTTAGTCATACATGACAGCAGAATGAATTTTGATATATAATACATACATGGAATGTACATGTATCAATCATATTGTCTGTATTCTTTTTTTTCTGTTTTCACTGTAAGAAAGCTTCAAAATTATTACTGGGCAGGAAGAAGATATTTTCATCTCAAATATTACATGAGGAATGTTAACATGAAGTTCTGAATAATGAGTCTCTTTTTCCACACTAACAAATAACTTATTCTTAGAGGCTAAGAATCATGCTCTGGTTATTTCTAATCTTTCTGTGCTGTAACACATTCAAGACCTTGTTCTTGTTGGTCTCTCCTTTTCACCCCTTCTTGCCATCCCAGATGTTTGGAAGCTACAGATTTAGGGAGTAATTTTGCACAGTTGATATTTTTAGTCTATTCAGAGGTGCCAAACAAGATATTTTCTTCCCTGACTTGAGACTTGGCATGCTTCTCTTTGCCGGCAAGATTACTCTCCTTCACACTTTGCCAGCTAACTCCTGTTTGTGGACCTCACTGTGGCAACACACTACCTCCTCAGGAAAGTCTTCCATAGCACTCCCTTGCTGGATGAGTGTCTCTTCTATAGCCCTCCATGTCCTCTGAACTTTAATGCTCTCATATGCCATACATACGGATGTACTTGCCTGTTGCTGCATCACTAGACTTCAAGTTTCATAGAACTGGGACTTTGCAGTGGTCATTGACATGCCCAGCACCTAACACACCCGCTGGCGTAGGTGGGTACTTGAATTTTCCTGAATGCATGGGGTGGTTAATGAGAATAGTGGAGGATTTCGATGATTGTCCACACATACCTGTAGTCTATTGTGGAAAACAAGCTGCCTGCATCTCCAGATGATTGTCACCATTTCCATGGGTTTATGGTATGCAAAGAGTTACCTTTCATCACTAGCACACAGTAGGACTGCTGCCACTAATTCTCACCTAACTTAAACAGAAAACATGGTGTGAGGCCTTTTATCAGAAGGGTTTTATTCATTGTTACACTTAATTCCGGCTGAGTTTACTTACAATGCCTCACCTTTGACTCCATCACATCATTTCCATTTCTAGAGCACCTAGTCCTTCCCCGAGTTGGCAGTGCCCTTGTCTGTCTCCAGGCTTCCAAGGTATTTACAGAGGTGTACTTGAGGTATCTTCCTGAGCAATATTCTCCACTCTCAATTTTTTCCTCCTACAGAAAGAGGCAGAAGTTTTCTTCCTGGCAGAAAAAGGCAGCACAGTGAATGATCAGGATGATTTAGGCAAATCCTTTCTCTGCACTTCATTTTCCTCAGGTGAAAGGGGACGTATGAGACTAGATGTTCATGCTCTTCCTCTTCCAGTGCTCCCATTCTTTGAGCTACTAGGCCTGGAGACAATTGGCTCTGGAGATAGAATAGACTTGAAGATCGAATGTTATGAATGCCTGATATTGTAAGAATGATGATGTCCTTAAGAGAAGAATAAATATCCATGAGAGAAAGAATTTAACAGGAGGATATTTACTTGGGTTTTGACAAATTGATTTTGAGCTGCCCTTACGTGGTATTTGGGAACATAAGTTAGAGCACCAAAAAGACAGGTTACAGGTAAATATGCATTTGAAAGTCATTAGTGCAGAGGAGATACCTGAAATCTTATGAATGAGACCTACCAGGAAAGAGGAAGAAGGGAAAAGAGATGGAAGAGGACAGAAGGAGGAAGAAATCCAAGGGGGGGGGAATGGAAGCAATATTCCTATCTCTAAACTCTATTTGACTTTTTTGACATATAGTGTCAAGTACCTCAGAGATGCAAGGAAGGAAAGATAGAAGGGCTGTCAAGTAAAATATTTTGGAGACCATTGGTAGAACTTCATGGAGACATTTTTACAGCTGGCAGGAGCAGAATGCTGATTTCAGGGAATTGAGGATTGGAGCAAATCAGGTGATGTTTCTGAAAAATTTGATGGTGAAGGGAAGAGAAATAAACACGTATTTGGAGTAAATTTAGGAGATTTGTTTCAAGGAAAGAGAAATATGGGAATTTTTTTTTCAGGCCAAAGAAGAAGCTATTGGTGAAAAATGAGTAATACAGCAAGAGAAAGAGAGAAGTCATGATTTCTAAAGACAGGCCCTAGAGAACAGGGAACAAGCAAATAGGTGGAAGATGTCAATGTAACAATAGAAGAAGGAGGCTTCTTCCTTGATAAAAGAGGGAGAAAGGAAGAGAATGAGTAAAACTAAAGAAACTGAGAGAAAAAGTTTGAAATTGGGAAAAAGTGGTGTTGTCTTTTTAGAAGAGTAGGAGATAACACTATCCATTCAAAATAAAGAGGAATAAGGAATATTTAGCAACCATAAATTTCAATTTCCTCTATAAATGAGGAAACTAAGCAGTAGGTTTGTCAAGGGACATGCACAAAACAAAGCAGTCTGGCCTTTTGCATTATAATTTGTGTCCTACCCTTTCTAAATTAAAAATGTTTCCTTATCTTGAACACGGGTCTTCCCATATCCATGGCCAATGCAGGAGATGTCATTGGTAACCCCTAGATCAGATAATGGCAAGAGCTGACCATGTTGAAAACCCTAGAAACCTAAATGAATGTAGAACTCTGAAAAATTTTGTTTGGCTTTGAGATTTTTTAGCTTCCACATGAAAATGTTATTTTAATATGTTTATGTGTGCATACCTATTCTCTATTTTTAAAAGGGATTAAAATATCCAGGCATGCCAGATTTGGCACCAGATGCGTCAGGAAAAATCTACTTGATGGATCTGAATGAGCAAAACCCAAGGGCACAAGCACTGAAAATCAGTGATGGATTTGACGAAAAATTTTTTAATCCACATGGGATCAGTACCTTCATCGACAAAGGTAAAGCCGGAATGATTAAGGATGAGGAGAAATTAAGGAATTAGAAATGATTCATTACCTACATTCATGTTAAAGTAAAGGGCAAATGCTATACAATATTTGTAAAAGTCTAAATGTGTACAAAAACATTTTTAAACAGTGCATTAAAGAAGAAAGACTAGTATTAGGGCTCCCGTCCTTGACTCTCTCACCTATCCACTTCTTTACTTACCTGACTACCATAACCCGTCTGTATACTGTACTCAGAAATCTAACACATAAACTGAAGCCCTTTTGAAAACAATTGTGTGGCATTAAAAAGACATAAAATAAAGAATAGATAAATTGGACTCATGAAAATTAAAAACCTTTGTGCCTCAAAAACACCATCAAGATTTTTTTCTCTTAAATAATTAACATTTAGCAAGTTAATAAATAAAACTGAAAATAAATATTGGGTAAGTTATAATATTCATTAGAGTTTCAATAGTGATTCATTATTTTCTATATATAAAATGGCATTTGACACATTTTGGATTAAATAAGAGCTTTTAACTGATGGTTTGTGGCTGAGGGGTGGCTTCTCAGAGAAAGGACTGTAGAAAGGAAATATTTGAGAAGTTAGAGAAAAGGGTGTGAATAGAGGCAAGGAAATAATAATATCTATGATGTTCTCAGAAAACATTAAATTATTTATTTTGAGCAAAAAAAGAAATACCATCAAGAGAGTGAAAAAGTGAAAAGAATGAAAAACAATATTTGCAAAATAATATATCTGATGAAAATCTTGTATCCAGAATACATAATTTTCCAACTCAACAACGAAAAGACAACACAATTTAATTGTGGTCAGAGCCAGGTGCAGTGGTGCCCATTTATACTCCCAGTTATCTGGGAAACTGAGGCAAGAGGATGGCAAATTTGAGGACAACTTAGGCAACTAAGCAAGACCCTGTCTCAAAATAAAATAAGAAGTGATGGGTATGTACCTCAGTGGTACAACACGTGCTTAACATGAAGGAAGCTCTGTTTTTTTAAAAAAAATGGACAGAACAGAGATCTGAAGACATTTCTCCTAACAAGCTATGCAAATTTCCAGTAAGCATGTAAAAAGATGTCCACCATCTAAGTCACTCAGGAAATGCAAATTAAAATGAATTACTTCTTCACAACCACTTCAATGATAATAATAATAATAATAATAAAAAGACCTTCAATAACAGGTATGGGCAAGGCTGTGGAGAAACTGGGACTTTGCTGGTGCAGCCACTTTGGAAAGCAATCTAGCAGTTCCTCAAAATGTTAAACATAGAGTTTCCATTCAGCAGCTCTGCTCCTCAGTGTATGCCTAAGAGAAGTGGAAACATCCACACAAAAACTTGTACCCAGCTGGCACAGTGGTGCATGCCTACAATCCCAGCGGAATAGGCAACTTCATAGAGACGGAAACTACATTGTGGGTGGCGGAGGCAAGGGGAGTGGGGAATAGGGAGTGACAGCTAATGGGTATGTGGTTTCTTTTTGGGTAATAAAAATGTTCTAGAAATAGATAGTGATTACAGTTGCACAATTCTGTGAATGTACTAAAACACACTCAATTTTACATTTTAAAAGACCAAATCTAATGATATGGGAATTATAATTATAAAAACACAGCATAGTTAAAACATTATGATACTTTAAAAATAGCATTCTTCAATATTATATTTGACTTGTTCATAGTTCATAATTCAAACTAATTTAAATTTTATGTATGTGTGTTTCCATTAATCGATAGAAAAAAGAATGGTGAAACATCACTAGCAAGCAGGGCACGGTGGCATACGCCTGTAATCCCAGCAGCTCAGGAGGCTGAGACAGGAGGATCAAAAGTTCAAAGACAGCCTCAGCAACAGTGAGGCGCTAAGCAACTCAGTGAGACCCTGCCTCTAATAAAATACAAAATTGGGCTGGGGATGTGGCTCAGTGGTTGAGTGCCCCTGAGTTTAATCCCTGTTCCCCCCACACAAAAAAATAAATCACTAATAGTGTCTGCATGAAGAGAAGACCAAATTGAAGAGTTATAATTCAGAATTTTTAAAAAACATTTTAATTTTTCCAAATATCTACTGGAGTTCCAATGAATTGCTAAGTGGAAATTTGCTGAGGGTGATTTTAATGAATAAAAAAGAATGATCAAAGATTGTTTCTACACACTCATTCAACGTATATTTGTTCAATTCCTTTGGTCTACACTAGCATAAATTTGTTCATTTTTAAAATTTTTATTTATTTATTTTTTAATGTGGTGCTGAGAATCGAACCCAGTGCCTCACATGTGCTAGGCAAGTGCTCTACCACTGAGCCACAACCCAGACTAAATTTGTTAATTTTCAAATAAATGGACACCTCTAAAATGTTTGAACACTAGGCTAGTAAGTAGGCTAAATAATCCCTGAAATCTTCTGTGTACTTTTTACTTGATTAATAAGCCTTTCTTTAAAAGATAATTGTGCCCAACAGTTTTGCATTGCTTTATAGTTTACAAAGCATTTTCATCTATTCTAGTTTATTTTTAAAAATAAGATCCTGGGCCCAACCTTGACACTCTGTCTTTCTCAGACCCATTCAGTCAACTCATTATAATGTTCTGGCTAATGTGCCTTTCAAAATATCTCTGCAATCTGCCCATCTCTCCCCATCCTGCTGCATCAGCCCAGTCTAAGCCCTGAACTTGACTTCCCTGGATTTTTGCATGGACTCCATTACTGTATCTTCCTTCTTGTACCTCCTCGATCCATTTAGCAAGACTTATTTCTATACAAATGTGATTGCCACTCCCTTTTTAAAACTCTCCATATTGCTTTCATTACTCTGAGGATAAATCCTAAATCTCCAGAACAATCTGGGTTCCTGGGTGCACACATTCTGGCATCTGTGTACTCTCTGTCTTCACTGGATACCCCTGTCCCCAGGTTCTCTGGACCAGCCAAACTGAATTTCTTTTAGTCATACCCATGCCTTAGGGTCTTTTCATCTGCTGTTCCCTTTGCCAGGAATGTCTTTTCAGCACTTCCGGCTTTTTTCCTTTTCATCTTTCAGGTATCAGCTTATATTGCCTTCCCAAGGAAGCCTTTCCACCATCTTGGTTCAGGTTGCACACCTATCATATTTCTTCTCAAAGGTCATCAAAATGATCACTAATGTAAACAAAAACAACAACAACAAAGACACTTTCTTTCCCTCTCTTGCTATTGCTCTGTAGCAACCTCTTCGCATCTTCAGATCCAAGCTTAATAGTCACTCTTGAGTGGGTGACACTATAAATAAAGGCACTCTAGTGTTCTTTGTCTTTAGTTTATCTTTGTCTTTAGTTTATCTTTGTCTTTCCTTGTTTTCTTTAAATTATAATCACCACCACCATAAAGACACAGGTTACGTGTTCATTGTTGGATTTCTGGCACATTATCTGATGTACAGCAGGTACTCGGTGAATATGTGTTCGAAGAATAAATGAATGGATACTGCAGGACAGGTAGAGCAGATATGAATACTCAATTTTATATATGGATAAAATGGAATTGAGAGAAGAGCAATGAAGTGTGACTTCATTTCTATTGTTAGCAACTGGCCAATCGAAAACTGGGGACCAGTTTTAATCATACATAATCCTGTATCTTACTGGGGTGAATTAGGGCATCAAGCTCTATTTAAATAATCCAAAACCATAACACTTTTGCCTGATATTGTGCTACATATAAGATGTTTCATGGGAGATTTCATGGGAGAAGATGTCCTAAGTGAACTTAGCCTGGAGCTACTTTACTGCATAGGATGGTGTTAGAGGTAGGGTTTTGGGGAGAAAGAGGGGGGGAAGGGGTGTTTTGTTTTGTTATGAGACCAGTGAATAGATTAACTCTCAGTTATATAATCGGTTTTCCAGAAGTTAAGTATGTTATGATTAACAGCCTGTATTATTTATTAGTCCCCTACCTTAATTTTGTATTTAATTCATATGACCAAAACGTTATACATAGAACTAGGGATGAAATGAGGAGAGAGAGAACAAAAGTATCCTCACTAAGCATAACTTATATGGAAAGAGGGCTCAAGTAGAGATGCTAAAATGGGGTAAAACCAAGACAGCATGAACAGTTATTCATAATTCTGTCCAACAAGAGAGTCTGGTTCAAAGAGTCAACCAAAGATTGTTTGGGGGTTGAAATCCAATCCATGTTCTGTTTGCCAAGTCTTGAAACACATCTGGGTCAAACCAAAAGATTCACCTGTGAGGGAGCACCTTTCCTTAATTTGCATAAGAGAGCCCAACTTGTTTCAGGGACCCTGAGTATTAACTTTGCATCTCAGGTTTAGACTTGCTCCATCATGTGATTGGAAACTGCATTGAGGAAGGGAATAGGGAAGATGAACACATAACAGGTCCTGTAATGGGAGAATGAAGCCAGTCCTTCTATAACTCCAGAGCTCATCAGACTTAGAGCTCCTGACAGTCAGATAACAGTGCTCTTTGAGGTCAGCTTTCTACCCTCAATTATACATTCCAAAGTGAAAACAGGTGGGCTAACATTCTTGAGGTTGGTAATACCTGGAATAGGCTAGTTTTTCTTTGACTTTCATATTTACATTCCATATCCATTGGGTTAACTAAATGTTGTTATTGCAACCTCAGGTAGTTGACTTGTAACAGAAGGTCATTGTCTAGATGGGAAATGTTGCTTATTTGAAGGTGTTTACACTGCACCGACATTTCTTGAACTTGCATCGTAGCATAAACAATTGGCACACACATAGAAATTTCTCAGTAAATTTTGTTTCTTGCACTCACTTATTGAAGGGCCACCCGGAGAAACCACATCCGTGTTTATGCACCATTGTCATTCTGTACCTTCTTGTTAGTATATACATGTGAGGCTCAAGAGATCATTGCACAAATATCTGTGATAGGCTCTGCCACTTGATGATGGTGAAATTGTTGAGTCACTCCTTATCTGAGCTTCATTTCCAAAATCAAAAACAAAAACATAAAAAAGTAGAGATTCTAGTATTTGTGTTAATTACTAATCAGATACTGTGAGGCCCCAAAACAAGATCATGAAGAAAAACCTTGCAGCAGGCACAGTGGTACATGCCTGAAGTCAAAGCTACAAGGAACATTGAGGCAGGAGGCTCACTTGAGGCTGGAAGTTCAAGACCAGCCTGGCAACATAGAAAGACACCATCTTAAAACAAAAACCCTCAGAGGTGACCAAGTTTTAAAACAAGTCAGATAATGGTTGCAATAGAGGAAAACCTCTTGGAAAATTATGCTTTTTCTCCCATTTAGACCACACGGTGTATCTCTACGTTGTGAATCATCCCCACATGAAGTCCACTGTGGAGATATTCAAATTTGAAGAACAACAACGTTCTCTCATACACCTGAAAACCATAAAGCATGAACTTCTCCAGAGGTATAGAATTAAAGTATTGTGTACTTCTGTTTATTTTGTACCTCCACTGTATGCTTTGTTTTCTTTGATTCTGCAGGATTTCTTAAACTTTTGTTTTGTAGCATTTTTTTCTAAAGCTCTCTTAAGATTCCATGGTGACACTGCCCAGCACCTCGCTAGAAATTGTTGTGTTCAGTATTGAATATCCCTATATTTTCCAACTTTTTGAAAGAATTTTAATCCCATAAAGGTGCTCAATTAGATTCCCAGCTCTAATTTCATCCTCTTTACCACAGCAACTCAATACCTTCCATTGTGCTCTCTTTAAACACCTACTCCCTTCTCCAGTTGTCTGGGTAGGTTGCATTCTGTGAGCCTCACCCACTGGGTGTTATAACCAACCTCCAGATGGGCCATTTCTTTGTTCAATCAGAGCTTTCAAGTAGAATTTGAGAAAAGCTCATAGGCACTTATAAAATTATATCTATTAAGAGTTGACTGTGTACCAGACATGATTTAATTTAATTCTCTCAACAGCTTAATAGCTTTTAGTCATAGGCATGAGGAAACTGAGTCTAGTCTTGAAGAAGTTTGGGGATAGGTAACTTTCTCAAGTTATACAATTTAAAGCTGTCATAACCATGGTGCAAATCTAGATCCATCTGAATTCAAAGCAAAGTTTTCAATTGCAGCAATGAATGTCTTTCTCATTACATTGAGAAAAATAGGTGTTTTTTTTTTTTTTTGGATGGGCTACCTATTTCAAGTGTGCTACAAAGCAATGAAGAATTTTTCTTATGTAAAATAGGCTCAGTGGTAAAGGAGTGGTTTTAAAATAATAAAGGTTGACTTTTCCATGAGACAGAAGAACAAGGAAAGGAAAGGAAGAACTTTCCTCTCCTTTGCTCCTTTTCTCAACATCAATTGTGAATTTCTCCCAATGGAATTTGAAGGCAATAAAAGCAGAGGCCAGAAGAAGTTAGAGAAGTTGAGGTCATTAAACTTTTCCCATAATGCATTGGGCAAGGTTCTGAGCCACAGTGGACCAGGACTCTCACAGAGTCCCTGGGAAACTGTGGACAAGGAACTTGGTCGGTGATTCAATTTTCTTAATAAAATGAGAATTCTCTCATTGACCTGATTTATCTAATTTGTGGATTGTAAGGATCAAATGCAATAGCAAATGAACTCACAGGAAGAGTTCAAGAAAGCACAGCCTGAAGAAAAAACCTGGTATGTGACCACTTTATTAGAGAGCTCAATTCCAGGATGCACATATCAAAGACCCACCCGAAGCAAGACAGGGGGAATGTTATGAGCTGAGTCATGTTCAGTTAGAAGAGATAGGTGGAAATCCTAATCCACTGGATCGCAGAATATGGAGGTAGAGTCATTGCAGATGCAATTAAAGGGGAAGTCATCCTGGAGTAGGGTGTACTCTTGGTATCCTTGGAAGAAGACAGATACACAAGGAATGCCAGGGACTACCAGAAGCTGAAGTCAGCAGAAAAAGATCATTCCATAGAAACTTCAGTGGGAACATGGCTCTGCCAGCACCTGGATTACAGACTCCTAACCTCCAGAAATGTGAGGCAAAGATTTCTGTTGTCTTAAGCCATCCAGTTGGGTAGTACCTTGTCATGACAGCACTGGGAAACTTATATATGGGAAGAACTATAGCAAATCCATTTTCAATCCAGCCTCTGCTAAATACAATGGACTGCTTGAAATGATAGGCTTACCTCTAGTAAGCAACATAAGCCTCATTTCAGAACAATCGGGCAAAGATAAGTAAGGAAAGAGCTTATCCACCCGCCTCATCTCCCATTAGTCATAGGTTTAAGGGGTTTTACCTCCATGACCTTCCCTGTTGTGCATATGCAAGTCTAGTTGGGCGATATCCTGTGCTCTGATGTCATGTTGGAAGGCCAGAAGTGGGAGGCAAGAGGCCCACAATAGGCATGAGGTAGTTAGGCTGTCCCTGTGGGGAACCTGTTAGATCCCACACAGAACTGGTTGAAGTAGAGCTCTGCTGCTGGAACAAGGCAGGTAAAGAGGAATATGAGAAGTACCCTGATTCCCACACAGACCAAGTAAGTAAAAGGGGCAGAACACAGAGCTATGGAAACAAATTGTGAAGGAATTTAATTTATGGTGTCAGGTAAGACGTTAACATAATTTATGGTGTCAGACAAGGGTTTTTGGAAGAAAGAGCCTGTAAGCTGAGGCATGAAAGATGAAAAGCCTAATGACCTTGGAAAAGTTATTATACTTCAAAACCTCAAAGAATTTCCCAATCCCTCCCAAATTTCCTGTCCTAAAATTTAATCTAAAAATCTTTAATCTTTCTTTTTTTTTTCAAGTCACTATTTTTTTTTTCTTTTTCCAAAATGGAAATGGTTTTACTATCTTTACTGTTTGTAAGCATAAGGCTTGCTCCAGTTAAGAATTTTAATGATATTGCAGGTCAAAAGAAGGAATGTTATCACCTGCAACTCATTCTATTCAGGGAAAAATATAAAGACCAAGATGGATTCTGTTGGGATATGATAACAGGAAGAAAAACTTAGGCTCAAAACCACATAGTTTTATTTTATTTTTGTTTCCTAACTCTTCATGCTTTGTACCCAATGTTGCTGATTAAGGGACTCAGTTTCATACTGTTCTTATTTAGGACTGTAGGAGGATCACAATTCTCTATCATCAGAAAAATTGCTCATTACTATGGAAACATAATGGATCACCCACTGGCTCCCAAAGTCTTCCATCTGGAAGCCACACATATTTCATTTCATTGGCCAAAGCAAGTCATATGTCTGTGCCTAACTTCAAGGGATGCAAAGAAGTCTAATTCCTAAAAGAGCAGAACCATGACAATTATGGCTGCTACAGATAATCATTATCCACACTTATAAGTCAATAGAGTTTGGAGTTTGAGGTTTATTTGTATATTTTCTTTCTTTTTACCAAAAGAAATGGAAGGTATGGTGAGAAAATAATAAATGGCTTTAAAAAAAAACTATCATGGAAATGCAAAATCATGTACTTTTTGTGAGATTCTTGTAATCCATTGTAATTCGTATCTACTTTTTGAAAGTGAGGAACATATTCATCTTTGTTGATATTAGCAATTTCAGCAATAATCAGGATATTCAAGTACTCCATGCATCCCTCCACCTTTTTTTTTTTTGTTGTTTCTCTTTTTAGTGTGAATGATATTGTGGTTCTTGGGCCAGAACAATTCTATGCCACCAGAGACCACTATTTCACCACCTACTTCTTGGCACTTTTGGAGATGATCTTGGATCTGCACTGGACTCATGTTATTTTCTACAGCCCCAAAGAGGTCAAAGTGGTAGCCAAAGGATTTAATTCTGCCAATGGAATCACAGCCTCACTAGACCATAAGTATGCGCTCTTATAATTTTTCTACCCTTTGCCCTTGACATTTTGCCAGATTTCTTCCCTTAAGAGGAAGTTGTTTCTTCAGGCTTGAAGAGTTAGTGTATGAATGGAGGGATCAGGTGTAGCCAGGGTACACACTAATGTGTAATCTCAAGCAGACCATATTTCTTGTGCTTCAAGTTCTCTCTTACTAGAGGAGTAGCACTAAAAAAAAAAAAAAAAAAGACTGCTTCTTGTTCCAAATTCTTACATGGCTTTAGAAACATACTTTTTAATACACTGTAAAGCAGAGTAAGTGTGCAATACTCCTGTCCCTGATGAGGCTAGAAGGTATTTAATCATTAATACTATGTCCAGTTACCCAAAAGCTCTCATTAGAGAAGGAGGTCCACCTTAGATTGGGCATTATGATTATGTAATTTTCGGGATTACTGATTAACAACAGTGGGCTGTTCAATGACTAATTTAAGCAGCATGAAATTTTATGAGGAAACACTCTTTATAAGCATTTTTAAAATGAAGTGGT